TCCTGTATTTTTGCAAAGGATAAAAAAAAATACTTTGACCCATACACATTTTTTATGCTTTGAAACTATTTTGTGTCAACACTTTTTGTTTGAAAGGGATGTTTCTCCGATTTTCGTCACCATATTGTTTCCGTCACGGCCCGTTCAAGCGCAAAAAGAAAATTTCGTGTCACCTTTTTATATTTCGGTTTTTTCGTAAATTATTTCCGGCTTTGCCTGTGACAAATTTCATGCTTGAATATAGTTTATGTCCTGAATTTTTTTAGTAAAAGGGAAAAATTATTTTTACAACTCAAGTTAAAATGCTGACTGAACTAAAAAATAGTAACTCAAATAAAAAAGTAACTAAACTAAAAAACTAATACAACTAAAAAAATAACTAAACTGAAAAACTAACTAAACTAAAAAACTAATTTTTATTTTGTTACAAAAAAATTTATTTATAAAAAAACTAATTTTGGACTATAAGTAAATGTATAATTATTTTAATAATTTTTTTTTTTTATAATAATTTTCAAGAATAATTTAAACAGAAAAAAAATTGCATTTATTTGAACGTTAAAAACTTTAGTGAATTTAAAAAAAATGCTTTTAAAGAACTACTTCTCCTATAAGTATCTATATAATTTTTAGAATAATTTCTGAATAAAAAATAGAAAAAATATTTCTTTTGTCGTAACAAAATTGTTTTAGAAGGCAAACGACATAAATAATATTTGAAATTTATTGTATTATAGATAGACTGGATATGCGGGTTTGATGGAATTTATGAGTCAAAAGTGTGAGAGTGAGAGGGACATAGTGAGCGATAAGAGCAATTGCAGAGCTAATAATTACATCGATTACAAACTCATTGTGAGCATTCAAGTGCTTAACAAAGTGATAGAAATTGTAAACTATTTTATTCGGCGCAATTCTTTAAAAGTATTTGATTTTTATTATTGTTTTCTTATTTTATTTTCTTATTGTCTCTCTTTCTATCTCCCTTGCGAATATAGGAGAATAAAATATAAGTGAGTCGCGAATGCACCTTCTCTCTGGCCAATGAACCATTTACCCTTGAAAAAAAATTCCCCCCCAACATAGACACAATCACTCCGAAAATTCTTGAACCAACGCCCACGTCTGACTTAGAAGGAAGCACACGCAAACAAAATCACAATCGCCATAAATTGTCTGCGAGTAATTTTTTGTTTTCTTCTTTCAATTGTTAAACCATTTTTTTTTCGTCCTCTTGATTTACAAAGAGTTTACAAAAATCGAAATTCAAAATCAATTCAAAACATAAATTAGAATTTTACAAAAAAATTTTACTCAAAAAAAATTCTTTAGCATTTTTTATTTTTAATTTTGCAATGTGACTGCAAATTTTTATTTTCGTCTAGTGAAATTAATTTACTAGAGAGAGATTTCTATTTTATTCTCCAAAAACGGAGATAAAAGAAAATAATTCTTTTTTAGAGGAAAAATTTTTTTTTTCTCTTTCTATTATTAATAAAGAAAAATAATTTAAGGAAAAATAGTTCGAAAAAACAAGAAATTGAGAAAGTTTGGTGCAAAATTATTTTGACGATGATTTTTGGTCCAGGTGAAGAAATAATAAATAAGAGAGGCTGAAAATAAAAACAAAAATTCTCAGAGAATTTTCATCGAAAAAAAATTGCAACTGGCGCCGAGAAGCGGAAGAGAAAATTCTCAATTAGCTTTTGGGGGAGAAGTCGATAAATTTTCGTTCGAGTTTATGATGAAATAATTCATCTCTCTCACTCTCTGACAGTACACCACCCAGTTTACACTGTAATTATGGGCAATTACCGCACAGTATTCGCATCTACATTGCAAAATGGAATTCGCCTTTCGAAAAAAGAAAGAAAAAAAGAAAGCGAAAACGAAAAAAAAAGAAAAAAAAGAAAAGAGAAAAAGAAAAGAGAAAAAGAAAAGAGAAAAATAAAGAAAAAATAAAGAAAAAGGAAAGAAAAAAGACAGAGAAACAGAAAGAAAAAAATAAAGAGAAAAATAATGAAAAAAAGAAAAGAGGAAAAAAAGAAAAAAGAAAAGGGAAAAAAAAGAAATGAGAAAAAGGAAGAAAAATGTAAAGAAAAAAAGAAAAGAAAGAAAGAAAGACAAAAAGAAAAACTTTGTAGTTCATATAATTCAATTTACTGACATATAATCACCAAGCGATATTTTTGGCGACAGAATTTTTTAATTGAAATGAATTTATTTATAGAATAGATTTTTTTTCTGCAAAAAGGACAATAAATCACGCGCCAAAGAGAGAGAAAGGAAAAAAAAAGAGTAATCAGTTTTGCGTTATAGGGAGATGCATATACAATCTGCAATAAATTACCAGCAGTGGACACGGTGGCGACACAGATAAAGTTTATTTTCGTCCGCAAACTAATGGCGTTCCTTTAATTATTAATTTACAGACTGGAGAATAAATACCTATATTTTCTACTAAAGAAGATAGGGTTATTATTCGAAAGTCCTGATAAATACGAAAAATAATTAATTTTCCCCGACACAAAAGCAATTGTCGATAGGGGCAAAATTTTTTACAAAAAGAATTTTCAACCGTAAGGTTGAAAATTGTTTTTGCAAAAAATTTTGCATCAAGAAAATTTTATTAATTAATTTTCCTTGTCAAAAAAATTAATCGTCGATATGGACAAAATTTTTGACAAAAACAATTTTCAACCTTTTAGCAAAAAAAAATTTTATTTATTAATTTTCCTCGTCACAAAAGCAATTGTTGACGTGGACAAAATTTTTCATAAAAAATAATTTTCAACCTTAACGGAAAAAAAAATTCTTGCAACAAAATAAAATTTTTTTTCATCGAAAAAAAGAGGAAAATTTGCAAAAATTAATTGTAGAAAAAAAGAGAAAAAAAATTTAATTAGAAACGGGAGAAAAATTAAAACAAAGGAAGAGTTAATTTTACAGACAACGAAAGGGAAACAGAATGTTAAAATAGCATTTTCCTATACAAGTCTATTAATCTTAGTGATTATTTTATGCTTTATGAGTGAAGCTCTCTCAATAAATCTCCGCTAAGAGTAAACAATTATTATTTTATAAACAAATTAAGGTAGCAGATTGAAATTTTATGATTCTAGTGGAAATTTATCGCTGTTTATCATTCTTGACTGAAGGCAAATTCGAAAAAGTGGAAAACTAAACAAAATACAAAAAAGTGAATCGAAATAAAAAAAAAAAATGAAACAATTGCAAAAGTGCAACAATAGGAAATGAATTTTAACCAAATTTTTAACCAAACGAAACCAAAATTTTAGCACTGAAAAAAAATTATTTGTTTCAAACAAACGATTACTTGTCTATTATCAAATTTATGTACCTATACTTGAATCAAATAATTTTTATTTATTATATTATTTTATTCATTTTTATTTATTCAAATAAATTCAAGTTCAATTAAATTGTATTTCAACTAATAATTTCAGTATTTGAAGCAAATTAAAGCGCCTTAAAATTTGAATTTAATTTGAATTTAAGTTAAAGATAAGTCACAATAAGTCAAAATAAATCTAAATAAGTCTAAATAAATAATTTAAAATAGAAATATGTTAAAAAGTGGAAATATTTTTGCGAAAAAAGAAAAATTGAAAGATAAGAAGAGACAAAAAATTCCTCCCCTCTCAAAAAGAAAGAAAAAAGAAAAAAATCCAGAAAGCAAGAAATATTAGAAAGAAAAAATGAAATTAAGTTAAAAATCAATCTTAAACAAAATGAAAAAAGAGTTAAAATTAAAATTTGTCAAACGTAGAAAATATTTTCATTATAAAAGGTAAATGTAATAGAAAAAAAGGTAAATTTAAAAGAAAAAAAGGGAAATTTAAAAGATAAATAAGGATAAAAAAATTCCCCCCCCCCCAAAAAAATCAAATAGCAAAAAATATTAACAAAAAACTCAAAGAAATTTTAATATTTTTTGTACAGAAAACATTTAATTTGCGATTTTAATAAAGTCCCTCTTTACACGATCGTTATTAAAATTAAGTTAAAAAGAAATATTAACAAAAAAATAAATAAATAAGTTAAAAATAAATAAACAAATAAGTCAATACAAAAATATCTTAAAATGCGAAAAATAGTTTCATTAAAAAAGAGAAATTTAAAAGACAAAGAACGAATAAAAAATTTAATTTCCCAAAAAGAAAAAAAGAATTCAAATGGCAAGAAATATTAGGGAAAAAAAAGTGAAAGAAACTTTAGAGTAAATATTTTTGTAGAGTGCAAATTCCATATTTATTGGACTGCACAGTGAAATGATTAGCCGCACAAGCGAAATGACAGTCATAAAAGTTATTATTGTGTCAGTTCAGAGAGAGAGAGAGAAAGAGGGGGGAGGAAATGATCCTAAATATAAGATTGTGAACGTTTTGCAAGTGAGTCGATCCTGGATGATAGTTTTCGTGGATTGAAACTCGAAAGACCCGAGTGTGATACACAAAAATATGTCTGCCACATGTGCGCGTAAAACTACAAAACACTTCTCCTTCTTTATTCACCAGAAATTTACACCCACCTTTCAGAAACAATTTGCGAAAATTCTAATCAAAATATTTTACAATAATATTAAATTTTCCAAAAAGAGATATTTTTCTCTTTCTTGTTTCTTATTTTTCTTTCTGTTTCTTCTAAACATTCATTAATTCGCAAATAAATATTTTTGACATTTATTTTTTAATTTCTTTAAAAATTATTATTCAATTACCCTAAAAAAAAAAAAAAAAAAAAAAAAAAAAAAATGGAAAAGCAAGAAATATTTTTACTAGTAAACGAATAGCTTGCTAGCTTTGAGAAGCGGCCCCCCACTACTAAAAGCAGCCCCAATTACTGCCCCCCCACTACTCCCAGGAACCGCTTTTCTCTACCAAAATATTAAAATTCAGTAAAATATTTTTCAAAATTGTCTGCATTGTTATTACTATATTCTAAATGTAAAAATTGTTGTAAAAAAAATATTTACTCACCACAGACGACTCTGTCAAAGGGACTCATCCAATCTGTAAAAAATAAAAGAAAAATCATTCTTTATAAGATAAGAAAGAAAAAAGAGGAAATTTGTTTCATTGAAATAGAACGAACTGACAAATAAGGGGATTGTAAATAGGTTCATAAATTCATTTTTATGATTAGCAGGCACAATATTCAATATTCTAAAAATGATTGGTTGCAATAAAACGTGAAAAGTGAGGGTCACATAAAATAAAATAAGGAGAATCATGCACTAATAATGTGAGGAAAAGTAGATAAACATTTCGATAATATTACTTTCGAACAAAAATGCATTTTGTGCAGAAAGTTATTAAAAAAATTTTTTTAGCTTCTTTTCATTTCTTTTCGTCATCGTCGGCATTTCTCTCAACCATATTAAGCATCTTCCTTTTTTTTCCCTAAAGTTCCAGTAAAAAAAAAAAAATTCTAAGGGTCAGTGTCACATGGACAGGAAAGCACTTTCTCTATTTTCATGGAAAAGGAAAGAAAACTGTCATAAAAAAAAAAAATCTTTGTCGAAAACATTTCGTCGATGATTTCTTTCTTTCTAAAGACTAAAATTAACTGGAATTTGTTTTTTTAAAAAACATGTTTAAAGTTTGGTTAAATAGAAATTTTCTGTATTAATTTCTATAAAATAATTTTCTGTATAAAAAATAATTTCTGTAATTATAAATTCCTTAAATATTAAATAATTAATAAATATTAAATAATAATTTCCTTATATAGAATAAAAAATAAATTTCATTCAACATTATTCATTCAACGCCAAAAATTTATAACTATTCATTCAACGCGAAAAAAATATAATTTATTTACCTATTGTATTTTTTGTTTAAGAATTTTTTTTTTCCCGACAAAGTGGACAAAAGGATTTTTTTTTTCAATAAAAACAAAGAAAATTTTACTATTCTTAGAAACTTAATGGTGTCGTTTCTTTTTTTAGATTTCACGTCAACATTGATTTTCTATTCAAAAGTATGAAATATTTCTATTTCAAATGTACGTTTTTACTTTTTGAATATTCAGTTTTATTTATTTATATTTTCATTCATTCCTGGCATTAAAATAGAAGAAAAAAATGTAGAAAATAATAGATTTAAATTATAGAAAAAATTATAGAAAAGTAGAAAAAAATTATAATTTTACATTAATAAAATTTACGACAAAAAATTAAAATAAAGTAACAACAAATATTTTTACTCTTCAGTTTTCTTCGAAATTATACTCTACATATAATATTATATATATTCAACATTATAAATTTTCAAGAAAAAAAAATTTTTTAATAAAAGAAGTTGGGAATCGAACCTATTACCCTTGGTCTTGAAGTCAAGAACACTAACCACTAAGCTACGTCACTTTTTTATTTTTTCTCAGTAAAATCTTTGCCTAATGCACCAAAAATGATTAATTTTTCCAAAACTAAATGAAAAAAAAACATTGAAACATCAATTCCAGAAAATAAATCCTCAAAATTGTAAAAATCGGGGAAAAAACAAAAAAATAATAAAACACACGATATTGAGGAATAATTGAATAATTTTGCTCATTGTACAATAAAATGAAAAAATTAAACAAACATTCGGTTGGAATTTTTCGTTTCTTTTAAAATAATACACAGAAGAATGTCAGCAACATTGACTGGAAATATAATAAGTATATGTCTATATATAAAAAGGGTATATATATATATATTCAAGTCTTGTAAAGACAGTGGGAAAAAATAGCAATGAACGTAACCTACGTAACAGGTTAATATGAAAATTCAAATGGCATAACTTGGCGATAGCAAGTACACTGCCAAGAATTATTTGCATACCAGACCCGCCGCTAAAATTCTGACTCCCATAATTACCGGCGTCATAATTAAATACGTAGATTATTATCTTTTTATCAAAATGGACCAAATTGTAATAAATCCTGTGCTCAAAAATTATATGATTAATAATCGAATTCACCATATTTCAATAAATCGAATAATTAATATCTTCGTTATGGTTAAAATCGATATCATATAGAAATTTATCATTTATAAATTTAAATGTATAAATTTAAATTTATAACTGAAAATATATAAAATTTAATTGTACAAATTTAAATTTATAACTTAAAATATATAAATTTAAATGTAGAGATTTAAATTTGTAACTTAAAATATATAATTTTAAATTTATAAATTTATCATTTACAAATTTTTATCAGCTTTAACACTAATTATCAATGTTGGTTAATAGTAATTAATGGAGAAAAAATTTTCACTTTATATTATATAACTTTAAATTACATAATTATAATTATATTTTATGTTAATATACAAAAAATTGTTATTGTGAATATTTACTAAATAATTTTGTGGAGAAAATATTTTTACGTTACAAATTTGATTACTGTTACTATAATTGATATTTTTTATTATTATAATAACCAAAAACTTCTGTATTTCCAGAATTATTTAGTAATAATAATTATATTTATGATTTACTATTCTACTATTAATTCTTTGTCCTTACCTCGCGGTTATGGACGAAATTTCGTTTCTCACATTTTTATTTCCAATTATAATTATTTATTTCTTTATTATTTAGATATAATTTTCTATTCCTTTATAATCTATAATTATAATTATATATTTCTTTAGAATTAAAAATTATAATTATATTTTCTTTATAATTTATAATTATAATTAAATATTTCTCTATAATTTATAATTATAATTACAAATTTCTTTATAATTTATAATTATAATTATATATTTCTCTATAATTTATAATTATAATTACAAATTTCTTCATAATTTATAATTATAATTATACATTTCTCTATAATTTATAATTATAATTACATATTTCTTTATTATTTACCATTATGATTATACAACTCATTATAATTTATAATTATAATCATTTATTTAAATTATATTTAATTATATTTTCTAATTCTAATTATATATTATTGTTATAATTGTCTATTACTCTTATAATTATATTCTACGCTTTAATTCTACAATTACAATATACTTTCTTATTTGTATATAATTACAGTATGTTTCTGCATTGTTATAATTATAGTGAGTAACTTGTTATTATCATATTTATTGTATGAATTATTTTTATTCTAATTGTTGCTCAGCTATTATTAAGTTTACATATAAGTTTTACAAGTACTTTCACGAATTACTACAATTCTTTATACAAATTACATGTATTTTATATGTAAATATATTAAAATTTCCCAACATACATACATTCAACTTTTATAAAAGTCTATTTCATTTATTTATCGATAAACTAAGCCAATGTAAATATTTATTTATTAATTTATATTATGAATTTTTTATATATTAAATAAAATTTTATATCAAATTTATATATAAATTTATACTTATATAATTTATTGTATATTTACTAAATTTATATAATTATATTATTTTTATACATATTATATATAAATTATAATAATAATTATATTATTGGTAACAGTCATGCTAATTATTTTTGTACTACTAGTATTATTGTTATTAGTTATTATAATAATCAATTATATTACTATTTTTGTATATTTAGAATAAAAATAATAATTTGTTTCAGTTTTAATAATTTTTCAATAATTTTTTTATTTTATTTATTTAATAGTCACAGGTAAGAAAAAAAATAATAACAAAAAAGAATATCAACTAAATCTCGTTTGGCGCTTTAAAAGTTAAAGTTCAGTAAAAGTCAATGTCAATAATATAATAATTACAATGATTTTATTAACAGTAATAACAAAAATAATGAAAATTATGAAAATAAATGTAATATAAATAATAAGAATAAATAATTATTATTATTGTAATTATAATAAATATAATAAACTTAAAAAAGTATTATAATTATAATAATAATTATAGTACTAGTAATAATAATAAATTTATTATTATTATTATTATTATTATTATTATTATTATTATTATTATTATTATTATTATTATAATTGTTGTAATAATAATAATAATAATAATAATAATAATACTAATAATAATAAAAATAGTGATAGTAATAATAATAACAATAATAATAATAATAATAAAAATAGTAATAGTAATAATAATAACAACAATAATAATAATTATTATTATGATTATTATTGTAATTATAATACTAAAAATAATAATAATAATAATAATAATAATAATCTTAATTATTAACTATTATAGAAATAAAGATTAGTAAATTAATCAGTAGAATTATTTTTACTTCTACTATTTATAAAATTATTGCCAGTACAATAGGTTAAAAAGTGAATTAATAATATTGTTAGTATTGCGATTATTATTAGCATTATAGTTAGCATTGTTGTATTTGTATTGTTACTGTATAATAATTATTAAACGATTACTCTTATTGCTATTGTTAAATGCTAATTGAAATTCTTAATTTATTGTCTCGATTTGTCTTTTATAGATTATTTATTCGCATTGATAATTAGTGTTAATTAATTTAAAAGAAATATTATAATTATTTCGTAAACTAAATATTATACTAGAAAATATTTATTATCCATTTTAATGTTATGCGAGAAAGCAGAGAAAAAAAAAGAAGTGAAATACCGTCGGCAAAATTTCGCATCTCTCCTGTATATATGTATGCTTTATCTTAAAAAAAAATTTAAATAAAATTCTCTAAAGAATTTGTATTGAAATGTGCTGTTTTGTTTTTGCGAAACAACAATTAGGAAGTTGAAGAATGTTTCACATAATTCTCAAATAGTGGAAAGAAATTGTGTAATTTATTCGTTGAAGTTTCATGGACCGACGACATTTGCCGTCGGACGGATGATAAATAGAAGAGATGTCTGCTTATTTCTTGAGATGGAGAAAAAGATGTTTTATCTTAAATTAACTTTAATTATTTTCGAATTTTTCCATTTTATTCATTTCGTTTAGTTGAAAACTAAACAAATGTTTTTTTGATTGCGAAAATATTTGTCTTAGTTATTGTGAGAGAATGTTATTGTAAGAATGAATAAAAATAATTTCTGTACTGAATGATGAAAGAATTTGTATCTTTTGGTCACTTTTTGTTGTTTGAAAATTGCGTCAATTTTAAAGAAGAAATTCGATAATATTAATAATTTTTTATTATTTTCTCTATGAAGAAGAATTCAAGAATTTGAGTTCAATAAATAAATTATCTATGAAGATATTTCGATAAAGTGTACATTATGTCAAAATAATATTTTTAGCACAGCCTTGTATTATCATTAAAGCATATAATTCAAAGAAACTTTTGTATATTTTGAATACTTTCCAAAATATTCCGCAAAAACCAAGAGACCAATATATTGTATTACTGCCAGGTTTAAAATTATTTCTAAAATCTTGAAACGATTTTTGAAATTTGCTCCAAATTTGATAATTTACATCAAATACTAATGAATATAAATTGAAAAACCAATAATTTCGTCAATTAATGATTAAAATGCAATAAATCCCCCCCCTACCCTGAGAAAACAATTTTACTTCACAAATCCCCCTCTTCAGTATTTTTTGAAATATAATTATTTTTTTACATCCAAGATAATAGTTTTCTAAGATTAAATAATAATGTTGAAGGAGGGGGGTTTTTTTTTCTTTAAGATGAAAGCTAAAAACATTTTATAGTCTCAGATAGTAAGTCCAAGATGGAATGGTTTACTGCCGTTAGAGAACTCAAACTCAAGAGTTTCGTTGGAAACATAAAAACATTGTGGTTGTTGCTCCGCCATGGAAGCTTCGCAAATGCGTCATTCACGTCTGGCACAATCATATTTCTGACATTCAATATTTTTACCCAACAAATGAATTTCCATTTACTTCTAATACGAAATAAAAGATTTAATAATTGAAATTCAGAAGTAATTTCTAATTGTACCGGAGCTTTTCTGCAGATATCAAATTGAGACTTCCTTTTTTGTCTCAATTTGATATCTGCAGAAAAACTGTGATCATAATTTTATTTTTGGGTCTATAGTCTCTTAAATCTCTAAAAAGAATCATCACAATGATGAATTGGGTATAGTCTCTAAAATCTGTAAAAAGAATCATCACAATGATGAATTGGGTATAGTCTCTAAAATCTCTAAAAAGAATCATCAAAATAATGAATTGTCAAAATGATGATAGAGAATTTGAGGAGGGGGATTTGAAAGGTTTGAACAGTGATTGTGGTAGACGGAATGTAGACATTTGAATGTTTAGATACTAGGGGTGCGAATGTCCTCACATGGCACATGAACTTGTTGTTTTGTAGCATTGTATTTGTATTTTGATTTTGGAGCAAGAGCAGAAGGAGAAATTGAGGCAATATTGGTAGTTTAGAAGAATGGAGGAATTGTTATTGATAAGAAACAACAAGAACAGTTGTAATTTTAAAGAAACATTGAGAAATTTGGGTATTAGCTCGCTACAAGATAACTACATGCTAGTTACAAGCCAACTTCAAGCTAGTTACAAGCCAACTTCAAGCTAGTTACAAGCTAACTTCAAGCTAGTTACAAGCCAACTTCAAGATAATTACAAGCCAACTTCAAGTTAGTTACAAGTTAGCCATAAGCTAACGACAAGCCAACTAGAAGTTAGCTACTATCCGAAAGTTACAAGGATGCAAAGGATACATTTCACGACAACAAACTGGACCTCGAAGATGTTATTCCTTTTCTACTGATACACTAATTTTTAGAGTAACAAATTAAACAGTAAATTAAACACCCAAATACTATTTTGAATCTTCCAAGACTATATTAGATTCGGTATGCAATACACATCCATCTTAATTTTAACTTTCCTAACAACACTACGGATATTTTGTTATCCTTTAGCATTTTGGGGTGCTATCCGAAGATTTTTGGTATCAGGATACTTTCAAACTGCGATCATCTTTGGTCCGTATCCTAATCACCAATAATCGTCGGACTTCAGGACATTTAGAGTATCCTAATGCTATTAGGTTTAGCATCAAACTTTGGAACATCTTTTAGTTACAAATTACAATTAGTCTTTTAACAGTAATAGGCTAATTAGAAAGGCTTTTAATAGTTTTACATATACATTCAGAATATTATTTGGTGTTTTGGTCTCTAACTTCATTTCCATCTTGTACTTTTATACTTTATGTATTCTTTATTGTATTTAAATTTGTGTTTTGTATTTAAGTTTTGGTACAATTTAATAGTGTCAAATTACAACCAATAGTAAAAATGTGGATCAAATGTTGATCTTTTGGCATTAACTTGATCCACTTTGGTATGAATTTGATAGTATCAAGAAAACAGTGTAAGTTTGAGTAGGTTTTAGTAAATGTTTAGATACAAATAAGGATTAGCGGAATGTCAAAGTCTATTGGATTTTTACATTGAGCTTTAATGGGAAAATCGGTACGATTTTCCCAGTGAAGCTCGATGTAAAAATCCAGTCGACATTGTCATCAAATTAAGGGTAAAAAAATGGAGAAAAAGAAGCATGCGAGTGTTAGAATATGCATAAAGAAACTCACCGGTGATGGACATCCATGGATAACGGGGTATCTCGGGAATTCCTGGTTGTCCGGTGGTGGGTTGTTGACAGGAGGCTAGAGGATCGACAACAGCTGAAGCAGCGGCCGCTTGATGATAGAATTGTGCAGCGGCCGCCATGGATGCTGAGGCTGCTGAAACGGCCGATGACGCCGATGCTGAAGAAACAAGTCCTCCGGGGGTGGCTCCATTCTGATGATGATGACCCAATGTGTAATTAACCATGGGATCGTTGGCGGAGGGTGCAACATTGCCGGTAAGACTCGCGGTGTACCTGCAGGATTTGTCGCCAGTGGTGGCAGCGTCGACGGCCGCTGCAGCCGCTAATGCAGCGCTCGACGCTGCCGATGAGCCAAAACCTGGGACCATGCCCGATGTGGCCCCAAATGCCGCGGCCGCAACCGCCTGTTGTTGTTGATGATGATGATGGGCCGCAGCCGCTGATACGTAGGGGTACATACTGGAGGTGGCGCGCGCCGCCGGTGAGGTGGAGGCCGAACTTCCTGAGTGCTGGGGACTCGAGCCCGTCGGACTCGGGGAATTGTGTTGAGCGTAATTAACAGCCGCTGCCGCAACAGCCGCCGCTGACAAACTCGACTCTAAACTTGAAACTGGACTTGAGGAACAGGCCTGAACTGAGCTGGGATTCGCGCTTGAGAACAATTGTTGATGATGAAATTGTTGATGATACTTTGGTAGCATACTATCGATTATGAATTTCGAACTCATATCGCCGCCGCCAGCGCGCGTCCCTCCGTGGACAGTCAACACCCGCACTGGTCACAACAGTCCACCAACTGTAACACCATATTGGTCCCGCACATCATGCACCTTTTTTCCCGAGTATTAAGAAAGAAAGAGTGTGAGAGAGAGAGAGCGCACCTTCCGCACGGACCACGAGGCGATTTCGTATTCCGCTTTTCCACGCTCTACGCACTTCCTCCTCCTCCCCTTCCCACCTCCTCGCCCCTCTTTTCTTCACCGACTTTTATCGGTGCTTTACCCTCACTTTTATTGCCACTTACGCAACTCGCACACCACACCACGATAACGAGGGAGGCGAAAAAATTTTTCCTATTCCAAAAATAAAGGATTAAGGTTGCAATTTTTTTTGGGTTTTATATCTCTTTGAATAGTGCGCGACGGGGCCCCGACAGCTGATCCGCTGCCCCAGAAAATTGGGCTGCCCACGAGACCAGGAGGAGCGTGGCCTGTCAGGTGTTAGAAGCTGTTTCTTGCGTACTTCTCGGATAGTCGACGAATCCTTTATGGGCCATGCATGAGGGTACTATAGCCCCCTATCCCGAACGCCGCGTACTACACACCACAGCCAGCTAAATGTAACCCCTTACAATAATGGCGCCGCTTGTCTCTCGACTCCCTCTCCTGAATCCGACACAGCTGGTAAACAGAACCGGCCAATCAAGAGACGGCCTCACTCACCCACAGCCAATCCCGTACAGGCTAGGCGCGCCAAGATGAATGGGTCTATCGCTTTCCCTCTTTCCCTACGAATTCCATCTCACTCCCAACGTCTCTCGCTCTCTCTCAGTTTCTCAATACTCTCTCACTTTTCTTCCCAATCTTCTCTCTTCTTCCCTCCTTCATTCTCTCTCCTTCTCGTTCCTATCTCACTTTTTCGTCTGCTATCTCTCTTTTCCATTCGGCTCACTCTTTCTCTCTTATGCTCTGAGATATTCTCTCTCTTTCTTCTTCTCTCAAGATATTCTCTCTGCTTCTCTCAAGATATTTTCTCTTTTTCTATCAAGATATTCTCTCTCTTTTTCACTCTCAAGATATTCTCTCTCTCTCTCTCTCTCTCTCCCTCGTGATATTCTCACTCTATCCTACAGAATATCTCCGATTCTTTCTGCAAATATACCTCTCTCTTTTCTCTTTCTTCGATTTTGCAACTCTCTCGTTCTAATCATCATCTTTCTCTTTCTTCAATCACCCATCTCTTCTTCTTCTTCTTCTATTTCTACTTCTCCTTCTTCTCTCTCTTTACTTCTTTTTCTATTTCTTCAATCTTTTAACTCTCTTCTTCTATCTCTCATTTATTTTTTCTCTCACTTCTATTTATCTTTCTGTTTCCTTTTTCCTCCCCAAGTACTTATTATATTTCTCTCTCACATTCTTCAGTTGTGTATTATGCTCATCTAGTTTTTCGCAAGTATCTGTTATGGGTACTTTTATTATTTTGTCATCTTTGTTTGGGTTTTTCTCTCTACCTTTTGCTTCCTTTTTTATATCCGAATGTTTTTTTGTTTACATTTTTGTTTTGCATCTCCTTTTTTTTGGCAAGGTATTCATTGTCCTGGCCAGGTCCTGGCGTCAAGTTGTTTAAAAAAAGGGAGTAAAATTTCTGATCTACTCTGTTTATTTTTTTATTGCATCTTCTTTTACGCTTTTAGTGAAGATATTTGTTGTCCTGGCCGGGTCCTGGGACTAACTTGGTTGTGAAGGGAATGGGGTTAAAAAGTCCTAATCTACACTGTATATTTTTGGTAGAAATTCGTTATCTTGGCGTTAACCTGGTTAAAAAAGGGGTCAGAGGCTAAAAAGTCTCGTTTTCTTTCTTTTTTTACCCTTCTAGGGCAAAAAGTCCTGGCGGTACCAGGGTTAAAAAAAGGGACAAGAACTAAAAAGTCCAATCCTGGTCCTGTCGAGGCAAGGCTCTAAAATTCTCATTTGTCAGTCAATTTTCTCCTTTGCTCCATAGCTCTTTCATCTATCATCCCTCTTAGCTTTCTCTCTCTTTCTTTCTCTCTCTCTCTCTCTCTGTGTCTCTCTCTGGTATTTTCTATCCTCATGATCTCTCTCCCACACTCGCGCTTATTCTCATCACGAAATTCTCCTGTCCGGAGCGTCACGCTCACCAACATTACCTTCTAATTTCTTGCATTCATAATCCCTAATTTCCGTATCATCTTCATGGAAAATTTCACCGGATCTTCACTCAAAATGATTTTAAACTCTCACAAAAACGTATTTATCGAAAAATTTCCCTCAAATCCGAAATTCTGCAATTAAATTTCCGTTTGCTCGCTATAAAAGAATTTATATCCTCTCAAGTTCATGAACATCTCCTACAAATAAAAGCAGAGCATCATCGGATGTCATAAATCATCTCTCAGTTTCTCTCTCTTTTTCTCTCTTGTTATTATTGGACGCTATAAAATTAATCAGAACAACTCTTACGACAAAAGGAGAGACACTTGAATTCTTAACTTTTTTCTTTTAAAGTATATGAAAAAAACCGGCTTTTAATTCTGGATTCGGGTGTTGTATTTATATATTCACAATGACTAGCCGCGAGCCAAACTGGAAAAAAGTCGTAAATGTTTTTTATGGCCTATGTTTGTATGATATAAAAGTCAGAAACGAACTTATTATCATCATCATCATCATTTCGTTAATTCTAGTATCGAACAAAAAAATGAATTAAATGATTCACGTCTTTTTTTTTTTTTTTTTAAATGTCGAATGTCATAGTAAAATGATTCGTGAGCCTTGAATTTATCACGAATTCGTCAAATTCTTCTTTGAGAGAAAAAGGAAAAGAGAGAAAGAGAAGATTGTTTAGGAGAAAGAGAGAGAGAGAGAGAATTGACGATTGGCAAATTTTTATGAGACGAGAAACTTTTCTGTGTGAATGCTTCTGCCGACGGGAAGATCATGACATCGTAAAAGAACCTACTCGCGTGTCTTTTAGGTCCTACCATGGAGGCTGTTGCCAATACATGTATATATACTCTTTCATGCTTTCTCCTCTCTTTCTCACTTTTCCGAATCCCCCCTCTCTCTTTTTTTTCTTTCCTGACACTATTCCGCAAATCGGAAATTACACCTTTTTTTAATTTTATCCGAATAATTTCCGTAAATTGGAAATTACAATTCTTTTTTTAATTTCTATTCTTTTCTAAAAATCTGTTTATCAGTTTTTCAATTTTCATTGAGAAAATTTTGGAGGAAGAATATTTATCTCCTTTTAGGACCCTTGAGGATCAATTTCACAATAGTTGCGCTGCTTTTCTTGTTTTCTATATTTGAAATTTTCTTGTTTCGACACTTTAAAATCGAGGGAGACTTTGAAACTTTTGGTCGCTTTTATATAAATAGCCATCATCCTCTTCGCATGTGTGCTCAGAATTCAATTGCTTTTACTCTCCCAACTCTCCTTTGTATTCTTTGACATTATTTTGAAATTCTCGACAATCTTTTTTAACTTTTGTTATTATTCTCAGACCGAATTTTCCCCTTAAGATTCAAATCACGACTGCGGGCACTTCAAAAATGTTTTTAGTTTCGAAAAAGAGGCAGTAAATTTAGATTATCTTTTATTTATATAATAAATATAGCGTATTGTGAAAAAATTCGTGAGTGACGTGGAGCGCATGCGCCTTGGGAGCAATGAGTGCGAGAAGGAAGTATCGAAACTTCTCTCTCGCTCTCCTTACTCTCCTCCCACTCCCACGCATGCGCGAACATTTCTATCCTAACAGAAAAAGAATAAAAATATTGCACGTTAAACCTAAAAAGCGATGTTATTTTTTCCCATTCAAATTTTTTTCTAATAATTAATAAATAAAAGAAAAAAACTGTCTCAAAAAGAAGAATTTATTTTTAAAGTCGAATTTATTTTTTTCAAGGGAAAGTCTAAATGGAAATAAAAAGAAGAGTTCTTATATTCCTATATATAAAAGAAAAATACATTTGCGTTCATTCATTGAATGAAATTAGTTCTAAAACATAACGCCAAAGTTGAGGAAATAGAAAAGCAATATAATAAAATTCATTTCTTTTGCAATTGCGCAATGAGACTATTTTCTACGGATTCATTCGAGTGGTGAGGCCATTAAACGAATACCATTTTAACGTTCAGTTACAGGCGAATAAATATTAGAAACGAGAAATCATGGGAATGTTTTCTAGCCAATTGGCTTCCGTCCATTTCTCCCCCCCCACCTTCTTTTCTTTTGCCGTTAATTTATTTACAACATCTCTGTCTTTTTCTTTTTTTTTTTTGAAATTACCACTCGATCTTTAATGAATCACTAACGAGGAATATATTTTGCGATGCGTATCATAACTGATTTTCATCAAAGTGATACATTCACGTTCCAAACAAGATATGCAATTGCGATAATATCAAATAGGACAGAAAATTATATGAGCTAGAGAAAGAAAAATTGTTTAAACAGTAAATAATATTTTTTATGAACGTAAATTCCGTTTTCGAAAAAATATTATTTTTAACACAAGTGCATTTCTTTTTCTTCTTTCTTTGTTCGAAATTTTTGTTCGAAATGCTATGAGAGCGCCCCCCCCCATAACATAAATATTAATACCCCCACTATTTTTAAGGGGGGGTATTATTTCTACACTGAATAATAATTTTGGAAATTAGTGTTTAAGGAAATAAATTAAATTAATGTTTAAGGATTTAAATTAATTAAATTATTGTTTAAGGATCCCCCCCCCCTCCCAACTAATAAGTTGGAGGTCTTTGAACACTAATTTCCAGATTATTCCTAAACTGTCAATTTTTTTGTTTGTTTACATTTTTTTTTTTTTTGTCATAGTAAATTATAAGAGTCTATTCTATTGCGTCTCGTAATCGCGACAATTTACAAGATGATTTCTTTTCCCAGTCTAATTGAATGCGAGACAATGTTATTTTTTGTACTTTGCATAATTACGTGATTCAGCAGTGCGTTTAAAGTGTTCTTTAATTACGTTAATAAATCCAAGTACTCACCCGCTTTTGGACGTCCTCGTTTCCTGAAACAAATGACAAATTATTCAGATTTTATTTTTGCTCGCACACGATGAAGGCATTGTGCTTGGTAAATTTTCCCATTGTAAAGTATTTCTTTTTTAAAAGCCGCTATAATTTATAATATTTAATGTGCAGATAAATTATAAGAAGAGTAGGAATTACTTGCAAAAACTTGAGAATAGAGAAAAAATCAGAAAAAGTAGAATTAGTCAGGGAAATTAGGGAAAAGTCAGGGATTTTTATTAAAGGTACTGGAAAGAATTAAAATTTTTAAATTCATAAGAAAATTTTGAGTTTTGGTGTCTTTTTTGTTTCCCTCATAAACTATGAAATTACCACGAATACTTTTAAGAAAACCTTGAATTTTTTCTATTTCTAACAATAATTTCTTTTTAAATAAACTAAATTTAAATTAATTAATTAAGTAATAATTAAAATTATTACTTACAAATATTATTCGAAGAATAATTTTACTTAAATATTTTTAAATTAATTGAATTTTAGATTTGCTTTTACAATTTCCATAAATAGATAAACTTCAAAAGTTATAATTTGAATTTTTGTAAAATTTCAATTTTAATTCAATTATTTTCAAAAAATTTTAATAAAATTCTCGTCAAAATTTCAATTATTTTCTAAAATTTCCCTCAATTCAATGATTTTTAATATCTACTATTTCAATAAAATTTTCCAGAAGAAAATTAAAAAAAATTTCAATAAAATTCTAAACAAATATTCGATTATTTTCATAAATAATAAAAATTTTATAGGAATTCAATTAATTTATAAATTTTTTCTAAATTGCTTCGCAATAATTCAATTATTTTCCTAAACATTTTTTCACAATAACATTTTTACAAGGATTCCATTATTTTTATAAAAAATAAAATTCATTTGAGGAGTTGAATTATTTTCAATTTTTCATAAATAAAATAATACTCACCGCAGAATTTCAATTATTTTTAGTACAATTTTAATTAAATTCCTCGAGAAATTCAAAAATTTTATTAAAATTCGTCAAAACAATTCAATTGTTTAAAAATTGTTCATACAATTCTTTATGAGAATTCAATTTTAAGAAACATTAAATTATTTGATAAAAATATTGAAATTTGAAGAAGTTACAAATGATTGCAGAAATTCAATTATTTTCAAAAGTAACAAAATTTTTCTCAAAAATTCAATTACAATCAAATTTTTTTTTTAAATTATTGTAAAAATTTAAATTATCTTTATAAATAATAAAATTCTCCGAAATTCAATTATTTTTAAACATTTTAATAAAATTTTCCAAAAGAATTCAATTATTTAAAAAGAATTTTAATAAAATTCTACGCAAACATTTAATTATTTTCATAAATAATAAGAATAATAACACTGGAAATAAATTATTGAAAATTTTTTATTTTCTTCACAGTAATTATATTATTTTTAAAAATAATAAAAATTTTTACAGGGTTTCAATCACAGAAAAAAGTGAGTGTTATTTTAACACTGAATTCGGTGTTAAAAGTATCTGCATCAAACTTTAGCTCGGAAGTGTTATTTTAACACTGAAAATAAGGTAAATTTTCTATTATAGAAAATTTATCCTCACTAAAATTACCCTACCAAAATTTACCCGCATCAAAAACAACACTCGCTTTTCTCTGTGATTATTTCTCGAAAAATGAAATTATTCTCAAAAATTTTATTAAAATTCGTCGAAAGAATTCAATTTTCTTGATAAATATTAAAATTCTTTCTAGCATGAATTCAATTATTTTAGAAAATAATAAAATTCTGCAGAGAAATTCAATTATTTTCAAAAATTGTTTGAAATTTCTCGTCAAGATTTCAATTTTATTTTTATAAATAACAAAATTCTTCGCCAAAATTCAATTATTTTCAAAAATGTTTCCTAATTCAATGATTTGAAAATCAACTTTCTATACTACTTTAAGAAATTTTTCAAAAAGAATTCAATTATTAAAAAAATGTTGGTAAAATTCTAAACAATTCAATTATTTTTATAAATAATAGAAATTTCATAGGAATTCAATTAGTTAAGAAAGTATTGACATAAATTTTTTCGAGAAAAAATGAATTCTTCAAAAAATTTTTTATAAAATCTTCGCAATATAATTAAATTATTTCTATAAATAGAATAAATTTTTTTTAGATATTCACTTATTTTCAGAAATAATAAAATTCTTGGCAGAAATTCAACTATTTTTAGAGAAATGTAATTATTCTTAAAAATTTTATATTAAATTACGTCCAAAAAATTCAATTATTTAAAATGTTGATAAAATTCTTTATGAGAATTGAATTTTAAGAAACATTTAATTCTATTATTCAATATTTTATTTATATTTAAAAAGTTGATAAAATTCTTTATGAGAATTCAATTTTAAGAAACATTGAATAATTCTACTATTCAATATTTTATTTATTTTTGTATTTAAATAATTGAATTCTCGTAGAATTTTCTAATTAAAATTGATTTAAAAATGAATTTTAGTTAAATTTAAGAGAATTGAAATTAAAATCTTTGAAAATTTGAAATTTTCATACTATTACATAAGTTGTAACTAACAATTATGTAGAATTAATTTTGTTGAAAAAGTTTCATTGAATTTTGGTTTGAAACTATTTGAAGTTTTTATTTTCTAAAAATATATTTAATTGAAGAATTTCCGAATAATCGAAATTTCGTAAAATTGAATAGTAGGCAAATAGATTTGAAAATAGAAAATTTTTTTCTGGAAATCAGGGAAAAGTCAGGAAAAATCAAAATTAAATTTTCGAGGCAACCCTGCAAGTTCACATCCACAAGATAGGGGTTGATTTTCCTATCAACGTCAGAACGTCTCATTTTAACCACACTTTTTTTTTATTTTCGTTTTTTTTATAGAAAGTACCTGCTGTTTTCGATGAGGGTTTGGAACATTAAATCTAATCGTCAATACATTTTTCACTTGGGGTTAAAGAAAAAAGTAACTCTGGCTACGCCCTTTTCAATTTTGTCTAATTTTCAAACCACTACATCTGTCGAGCAATAGAAATGAAATTCGATTTTTGAATCATAAAAATATTTTCCCTACATTGTTTACTTTTTTTTGCTTCGCTCACAAGATGCTTTGCCTAGAGTTGCGCCCATAAAAAAAATGCTTCGTGCTAATGAAATATTGTCGAAATATGAAAGAGACGTCTTGAGGAGGTAATTTAAAAGTTTGTGACTCAATTATAAGAAGAAAAATGAAAAAATAAAAAAAGAAAAATGGAGAATATTTAATGAAACATATCGTAATAAATAAATGTATGAAATTAATATAAACTGAAAATAATTTATATTTTAATTTATAATATATTGAATATAAATTGATTTATTTAATAAAAAATGTTAATTAAATTTAGGTTCGTTATGACTACGGATTGATGCGAGATGGTATTTGTAAATAAAGAAATTAATTAATTAAATAGAGTGAAAATTAACAGGTGGTGAATATATTAATGTCTGCAATGTATTTTAATTTTATCTTCTGTAGGAGTAAAAAAATTCCTTTTGATTTAAAATTCACTTGTAATTGAAACGAGTTACGAATGTTTCGGCATTACTTTAATGTAAGATCGAGTTACAAATATATATATATATATATATAACTATACATTTATTCGATAAAGAAGAACGGTCGAAGTGTTTATATTGAGAGCTTTTATTAGCCACACATGATGAGTTGCGGTGCAAATTGCAATTTATACGTGACTGGAAGTCGATAGATCCTTTTGCCGAAGAGTATTTTATTCCTCTCACGATAATCACTTTCATGATCCATCACTTTGAAAATACCTACCGCAGACAAATTGTGCGCATCAAGGAATACAATTGTTCCTAGAAAGGTGTCTATGCAAAAATTGCTTATTTCACTTTTTCCCTCGTTAAAAATAATCATTCAATTTTTTCCCTTTCATTAAAAATTTAACCGTAAAATTCAAGAAAATTTCCATTATTCACTTATTTTTATTTAGGTACTTTTAGTTTTCATTTATTTTTTTTTATTTATTTTAAGTTTGCTATTATTTTTATTTATATTTTAAATATTTATGTATTTGATTTTGATTGTATATTTACAATTGATGAGTGAAGACGCTAGGCGCATGCGCAAGAGTCGCGACGTTAGTGAGTGCGAGAAGGAAGTAATGCGACTTCTCTGTCGCTCTCATTGCCCCCACTCCTGCGCTCGAGCTTCTTCCTACCAATTAATCATTGAATTCAGTTAAAAGTCAAATTATTAGCTACTTTTCTTCGAGGAATGTCAAAATTATATTTATTTACAATGTAAAAAGGCTTATAAACAATTAAAATTACCGTGTTTGATAATTATTATTTTATTCTTAGAATTAATCCTAAAAATTAAAATTAAAAAAAATAAATGCTTACAAACAATTAAAAATACCGTGTTTCGGTAATTATTATTTTATTATTAGAATTAACAAAAGTAAAAATTAAAATATTGAAAAAAAATTACACTTTGAGAGAAGAAGGAAAATAAACAATGTTGCAAAAAAAAAAAAAGAAATAAAAATAACTTTGAGAGAAGAAAGAAATGTATTTAAAATATTTGCTGCTGTAAACAAAATTGGAGATTTGTTATGAGAATCAGGACTAGTGCACAACATAGTCATTTGTGTTATATTTTTGTACAATTTTTATGGTAGGACAGGGTCAAAGATTATTAGGGTCAGTATTTTTATGGATCTACAGAGTCAATTTTTTAGGACTTAACGATTTAATGGTACTGACACTGGCGACGGGATGTTTTACAATGTTTCTCTCATTTGTATAATATAAGCAGGTAGTGAAAATTTTTTTTTTACGCTCAACTAACATTTTTTTTTTACTTAACCATTTATTACGAATTAACCATTTGTACAAAAATTTTTTGTAATTTAATTTTTGTTAATTTTTTTTTCGAGTAAATTAACAATTTAATTAAAAAGTAAATTAACAAATTAATAA